TAAAAGCCCTGGACGGTGTGGCTCAGTGATTAGAGAATTTGCCCTGTGCACCCACGGGTCCTGGGTTCGATCCCCGGTCAAGGGCACTTACCTGGGTTGCACGTTCCATCCCTGGCCCCAGCTGGGGTGCGTGTAAGAGGGAACCAAGGCATTTGTCTCACTCACCTCAGTGTTTCTCTCTCTCTTTCTGTCCCTCCCCATCTATTCCTCCTTTCCATTCTCTCTAAATATCAGTGGGAAAAATATCGTTGAGTGAGGACTAAAACAACAACAAAAAGACTTGAAAGAGTAAGACGTCACCCAGCCAGTATGGTTCAATGGTTGAGCATCGACCTATGAACCAGCTGGTCATGGTTCCATTGCCAGTTAGGACAAATGCCTGGGTCATGGGCTCGATCCACAGTAGGGGGCGTGCAGGAGGCAGCCGATCAATGATTCTCTCTCCTCACTGATGTTTCTCTCTCTCTCCCTCTCCTTTCCTCTCTGAAATCAATAAAAAATTCATTAAAAAATAGAGTAAGGCCTTGTTTTGGCCAGTGTGGCTCAGCTGGTTGAGCATTGTCTGATGTACCAAAAGGATGCTGGTTCAATTCCTGGTCAGGGCACATGTTCAGGTTGCAGGTTCCATCCCTGGTCGGAGTGAGTGCATGAGGCAATCAATCAATGTTTCTCTCTCCTTCTCTCCCTCTCTCAAAAATAAATAACAAAATATTTTTACAAAGAGTAAATTCTGAATTATTGTATAAGCTAACGTCATGAGCAGCAGACAGTTCCAAGTTCATACACTGGACGGTGGAATAGCTCATCACAAATTATCACCCTCGATGAACACATAGTCATTCCTCTGCAAGCTGCAATTCATTACTGCAGCTTCTCCGTGTCCAAATTAGTCCAAATAGGAAAGCTGACCCCCTGGTCATTTCCATTTTCCCACAATATACATGAGACCAGAGGTCAGCGTACATAAGCACATTAGGGTGTTGACTATCGCTAAGTCTGTGGACCTGCCAGGTGGGAAAAGTGGAAGGAATTAGCCTCAGAATTTAGGAGCACCATAAGCCGAGAGGAAGAAGGCCTGGGAAAGTCAGAACGAGAAAAATACTTACACACACTTCCAACATAAATACAACTTACGGGGAGTCTCCCCACTGCGCAGATTCAGATATAAGAGTTTCAATTCAGACAAATGACTCCCCAAAATGTTTCCTCCTCAAGTGTTGTTAACCAAACAGGAAATTGCTCATTCCCAGCACACCTAAGGCCTTTCGGCAGTGTGAACTCGCTGATGGTAACGAAGTTTGGAGCCATAGATAAAAGACTTCCCGCATTCACTGCACTTATAAGGCCTCTCACCAGTGTGAACTCTCTGGTGGTAACGAAACGTAGAACTGTAGATAAACGATTTCCCGCATTCGCCACACTTATAAGGTTTTTCACTCGTGTGAACTCGCTGGTGATAGCGGAGTTTGGAACTATATATAAAAGACTTCCCACACTCACTGCACTCGTAAGGCCGTTCGCCGGTGTGAACTCGCTGGTGATAGCGGAGTTTGGAACTATATATAAAAGACTTCCCACATTCGCTGCACTCGTACGGCCTTTCTCCTGTGTGAACTCGCTGATGATAACGGAGGGAGGCACCAGAGGAGAAAGACTTCCCACACTGGCTGCATTTGAAAGGCTTCTCTCTTGCGTGAACTCTCTGATGGTAACAGAAGATGTCACTACCGGCAAAAGATTTCCCAACTTCGCCGCACTCATAAGGCCTTTCTCCAGGATGAACCTTCCGGTGTTTTCCGAGGCTACTGCTTGTGGGAAACGACTTTCCACACTCGCTGCACTCGTAAGGCCGTTCCCCTGTGTGAACTCTCTTATGACAATGAAGGGCATAGATCCTGGTAAACGATTTCCCACATTCACTGCACTCAAAGGGCCTTTCTCCAGTGTGAACTCTCTGATGATAAAGGAGGCTACTTCGCCGGGTGAAAGATTTCCCACAGTCACTGCACTCATAGGGCTTTTCTCCCGAGTGAGTTTTCTGATGAGACTGGTAGGTCGATCGACAGATAAAGGACTTGCCACACTCGCTGCATTTATACGGCCTCGATCCTGTGTGAAGGCTGAGATGGTAACGAAGGCCGGAGCTCGTGGTGAAACATTTCCGGCACTCGCTGCACTCGTAAGGCCTCTTTCCCAGATGGCCTTGCTCATGATACCGCAGGGTGAAGCTGTTGGTGAAAGACTTGCCGCAGGTACCGCAGGCGTAAGGCTTTTCTCCTGTGTGAATTCTCTGGTGGCGAACAAGCTTCCACCTGTTATTAAAGGATTTCCCGCACTCGCCGCAGTCGTAAGACCTTTCTCCGGTGTGAACACTGTGATGGTAGCGGAGGGCCATCGGGGTGATGTAAGATTTCCCACAGTCACTGCACACGTAAGGTCTTTTCCCCGTGTGAGAGCTCTGATGATAACCGAGGCCCGCGATAGAGGTAAAGGATTTGGCGCAGTAGGTACACTTATAAGGCTTCTCACCGGTTTGAACTCTCTGATAGCGAATGAACGCTGAGCCACGACTAAAAGATTGCGCACACTCGCTGCACATGTAACTGTTCTCTCCGCTGTGCCGAACCCGGGGATAAATGGAGACAGGCTTGTGGCTGAAGGATTTTCCACATTTGCTGCACTTGGACTGCCTGGGACCTGGATGAATTTTTCGATGCTGACTGAGGGCTGAGCTTCCACGGGGAAATTTTCCGTTTTCGCCAGACACGTGAAAACCCTTTCCTGTGCGGACTCTGGGGTGCCTAACAAATGAGGATTTGTACCTGAACGGTTTTCCGCACTCACTGGACGCAAAACACGGTCTTGCCGTATGGACATTCTGGTCCTGAGCAAGCATGCGTTGGGGGTTGAAATCTTTCTTGCCTTCTCCAGAAGGGCCAAGGCTTATTCTGTTCTGTGGAGTTATACACGGGGTGACTTTGGTTTGCTCCTCCCTGGTTTGAGTGAGCTGTGGCTGCCGATGTCCCAAGCTGGGCAGGAAGTCCCTCTCAACCTGCTCAGAGGTCACGGTCTTCCCTGACAGGTGGGTGCTGCCGCTCGTCACGCATGAGGCCTTGTCCGCACGACTTCTGAAGGGCTCCTCTCCCATGTGCTGCTCTTCTGGCTGGTGACACTTTGCACTGAAATAAAACCGTTTTGTGCACGCCCCACACCTCAGCAATTTCTGGCTGTGCTGTGTCCCCTGCTGCTCAACCAAGTGGAAAATGTCCCTCAAGACCGGCCCGCAACTCTCGCAGGGGTGTCTCTTCTGGGAAGACGAGGTTGCCTGGGGATTCTTCCCCTGTGAGATTCCCACAGAAACCCTCTGTTCACGGGGTGCTTCCACATCGTCGGCTCCACAGCAGCAACCTGAACGCAAAGAAACGCCGGTGAGATACCTGTTGACTAAAGGGAGGGGAGAACCCCATCACACATACTCACGTGTCAGCCCTAGCCCGTTTGGCTCAGTGGATAGATCATCAGCCGGCGGACCGAAAGGTCCTGGGTTTGATTCCGGTCAAGGGCACACTCCTCAGTTGCAAGGTCCTCCCGGGCCCGAGCCATGGTCGGGGTGCATGCAGGGGGCCGCCAATTGATGTGTTTCTCTAGCATCAATACTTCTGTCTTTCCCTCTCTAAAAATCAATGGAGCCCTAACCGGTGTGGCTCGGTGGATAGAGCATCGGCCTGAGGATTAAAGGGTCCCAGGTTTGATTCCGGTCAAGGGCATGTACCTGGGTTGCGGGCACATCCCCAGTAGGGATGTGCAGGAG